AAATGCCTGTTCACACCATCTCTAGACCGCAACGTTTTTTAATCTGCACTAAAAACTCTCACACAGTAATTTCAATGGTTTTAAATGAGGCTAGTTAACACCAATGTGTTCAGTTCCAGAACTTATAAAACAATAGAGCATGCTGCATTTTTTCACACTGGAACACACAAAAACACAGGTAAATGTACCAGGATGCACTGAAACATATGTAAAACCCAAGCAAGGCCAATAAAAATTAAAAAAAAAAGCTTCAGAACGCATCAAAAATACATACAGTGCATAAATCCATATGCAGAAACACATCCAGATTCTGTCTGGAGAGTGAACAGGCCCGAAACAATTCAGTTCTTTTAGTGCGGAGAAGCAGGATTAGGCCTGGGGAGTATTTGTATTGTTTAGCAGCATTACATTTGTTTAGAGATACAAACTATGGCAGGCACAACACTCACTTTATATGCAAACACTGACTCTAAAAATATGGAGGCTGTTGGCAGCTGCTTTGGCATGGAGATCTTACCATTGATGGCTGGGCAGGGTAATGCTGGAGCTGGCTATAGTTGCTCTGAGATCTTGACGGTGGGCCCATCTGTCCGTTGCTCATATGCATCTGAAAATCAATTTACATATCAAGGTGGTGTCGAATGCACTGTCTCCTGGGTCTCTGCAATACTGCTCTATATTTATTAATGCAACCAAGCCATAAAATGACGGGTGCAGAATCATTACAATGCATGAATAGTTGTGTGTCTAGCTTCTTTTTTAAATTCTCCCATCTACTGGACAACATTAGCAATCCAACAGTTTGAGAAGTACCTCTAAGCAGATCTAGAATGTGTGCATGGTTAAAGTAAAAATTGCTGCAATAGTGACAAATGTATCACAAAATCATGTTGCAAATGTCTTTTCAAACTTACAGAAAATACTTTGATAAACACATCCCAGTCAGATTTGCATTGCATAGACATCTTAATTACTCTGCATCTATCTTGGTATGTTTCCTCTGTAGCATGTCATTTTACATGTAGAGAACTATTCCCAGTGACATGGCACAAGGTGAAACAAGACTAAATAAAATAATGTAGTCGAAGCAACCAACAGTGTTTTAGGCATAAATTCATTGTTACCTTTTTCACACCATCAACAGAACTCTCCTTGTGGAGCAAGGTCGCATAATTTTGCTGTCCGGGCCCAAACACATCATCCTGTGCAGGTTCTCCTGTGCTGCCAGCAGTTGGGTGCTGTCAGTAAACAGAAAAAAACATTACATACGAAATATGGTGTATGAGGGGTTCCCAACCAACAGCTCGTGAGTTACATATGAGCCTCTGACCCCTTTGATGTTTGCTTCCAATGCTTGTAAGCTCTCCTCCGGAATACCCTTCCTAATCTGAAAACTTGGCTACCCTATTCACTTCTCCTCTTAAAGTTCAACAAATTTCCTAGCAACATATGGCACCATCTAAATACCTGTGTGCTCAGCACTGCTAGACCACTGGTTTTCGCGAACAAAAACCACAATAATCTTAAATGTTTTTTTACCTCTATGCTTGATATTGATCATTGATTTGACCCCATTACCTATCAGTTAATCAAAAGAACATTCTGGAAAAAACATTTTTTGAACAAAAATTCTATTGGCCAGCTTTAGACAGATGGAAACTCCTCTAATCTACAGACTGCTACCTGTTCTCAGGTTAAAGGAGACCTATGACATAAACTAGCGTCCACCCATGAACCAAATCTCAGTATACCACGAGCTACAGCTCGCGGTATACTGAGACCGGGACGGATCCTGACAGAGCCACCCAGCTGCGTGATTGACAGCTGGCTCTGCCTATCTAGAGGCAGAGCCAGCTGTACCCGCCCCTCCCCCGTTCGTTCCTCCAGTCAGCGCTGGAGGAACGGAGCGGGGAGGGGGGAGAATCCCTGCAGAGAGCCGTGAGTGACAGTCATGGCTCTCTGCAGGGACAGGATCGAGAAGTGAGCGAGAGCGACGGTATGTGTTCACTCACTTCCCGATCTATTGACCCAACGTGTGACAGTTTTATTGTCACACGTCGGCTCGAACTATTAGGTTGAGTGGAAATCACTCACCTCATAGTTCTCCTTTAATGGACCGTGAACTACAGGCATTGAATTACACTGCAATGCTTTCTTGTCCAATCACCTATTTTCCATCAGCCATCCTGTGTCAAAAACATGGAATGGAAACACCTCTGTGAAATAACTTTTAGTGTAGCTCACCATCATTGTTTATGTGTAAATGTGGCTCATGAACACAGACGGCTGTTCTCTTATGATCAATTAGTTTATTATTATATGTATTGCTTACTTACAACTATCACATTCCAACCACTTTAGCAAACTGTATTCTGTTATGCTAAATGTCGTGGGGTTATATAGGGAGTCCACACTTGACTTGTCTGTAGCAAGGAGATTAAAGGAGAACTATGAGGTGAGTGCTTTTCACTCACCTCATAGTTCTAGCCGACCTGTGACAATGAGACTGTCACAGGTCGGCTCAGTAGATCGGGAGTTGAGCGAACACATACCGGGTTCGCTCGCCTCTCGATCCTGTCACGGCTCTCTGCCATGACAGGGGAGGGGCTGGATTCCCCTCTCCGATCTGACAGCGCTGACTGGCGGAACGGACGGGGCGGGTACAGCTGGCTCTGCCTCTAGATAGGCAGAGCCAGCTGTCACTCACGCAGCTGGGCGGATCCCGTCATCTAAGTCGGGATCCGCTTCGGCTGCGGCGTCTCAGTATACCGTGAGCTGTAGCTCACGGTATACTGAGCTTAGGGTAACGGGAGGACGCTAGTTTGTGTCCTCCCGTTACCCTAAGGAGAACTATGGGGAAAAACACTGACCCCATAGTTCTCCTTTAATGGCTGCTATTTTCTACTCCTCTTGCACTGTAAGTCACTTTGTTCTTTACTTGACTTGCTGTTTTGTCAGTTCTTTGTACAATAAACTGGAAAAAACTACAGAACATTGTTCTTTAATAAAAAAAAGGTGGTTCACGAGCTGGAGGTTGGTACCTTTGTTGTCCTTGAAAACAGACCTCCAAAGCAAAACCTTTTTTTTTTAGTTCTGGGTAGGGAGGAGGTGTTCCCACGACACAACCAGAAGTGAAGGGAAAGCGTTCAGCATCTTGCAGAGCATCTTGCCCCCACTTTATCCAAAACTAAAACAAGTCTGGCCTAGAGCTCTGTTTTAAGAATGATTATGTTTTATTGATGTTATTATGCTGGCTTGAATTATTGATTAGGTGTAAGACACAGATTAGACAATCAGCATCAAAAACAATGATTAGGTATAAGATATGGACTGATGATTAAGATCCTTATAAAAAAAAGCCTGACAAACAATTAAACAGGATTGCACACATTTCATTACAAATAATCAGCATTTAAAATCTGTAGCTTACCCAAAACTCAGAACGGGTTTGGTAGATGCTACATTCAGCAGCTAATGGCTTCTTTTGTTTCTCAGGGACTCTGCTAGTGAAATCTCTATACTTCATGATCTAGACACATACCGGCAATACCAGAGGGGCCCAATCTCCCAACTGGATTTGTCATTTTTTTATAGTCTAGATACACAGACCCATCCTCGAGCAGTAGGAATGAGACCAGGGGGGAAGGAACAAAGCTAGAAACTATGGTGGGGAGACCTTGCTAATGGAGTTCCAAAACATTTTCCAAGCCAGTCAGACTACAGTACTCATATAATTCAATGTCACTTTTTGGGTCATCTGTCCTTGCAAAGGAAAGCGGCCATAAGAAAATTACCCAGACTGGCATTGCAGACCTCTTTTCAGAAATGCTAACTTCCTGGCTGTTTTTGAACTTCAATACTGTGAGTCACTGAGCTTGACCAAGCATGCAGCAAGTGAATTCAGAACATCTGATCTGCATACATGTTCAAATTCAATGACCTAGTAAGCACTGACGCTAGCATGGCAATCAGACAATTAACGTTTTCATTAAGAGGTCATTAAGGAGGATTTATCCTGAAAATTAGGGAATATTGGTGCTGTTTCAGGATGGCTAAGTTCAATGTCCATTGGCAACTACTCTGCTAAATAGTAACTACAGGGGCAGCATTTATTGTAGTGACTTTGTAAAAAAAAAAACATTTTGTAGCATTCAGTAACAGCTTGGTTTACAAAGTAACAATGAATGTAATGACCAAGGTAATGCAAAGGGCATTGTGTTAATATATGTTAATAAGGTAACTGTTTACTTCATAAGGCAGTATAAAAGGGCAGTAACCCATTGCAACCAGATTCAGGCAATATTTTCAGATGAGTTTCAAATGAATAAGCTTTCACATCTCATATGTGAAAACCTGATTGAATATACCCGGATTACTGCACTTTGCACTAAAAGTGATAATACCAATTGGAGAAAGCAGCAGTGTAAAGCTCCCCATAGACCTCAGAGGGCGAGAGGTCACACAAATACGATCCAGCCACTGGCACATTGCACTGCTCGCAGTAACACTCAGCCCAGGTAAGTGTTCATATTCATTCCTATTGGGGGGGCAGGAATGGTGTGGGCTATAGCCACCATCTTGATTGCCCCAATGGGATGATATGATAGAGCCTAAATCTGACATAGTCCTGTGCTAATGTCCCAGTGGAGAAGAAAGCAAAGTTAAACACAAAAAGCACAAGGGTTAACAAACTCACTGCATGCACAAGCAGAATATTTGAAGGAAATATTAGGATTAGAAGCAAGTAGGTTATGCTTGGTCACTGCAGCTTTTGCGCTACCAATGAGCAGATAAATAGTCATATCACTATCCAGGGCCTCTCTTGAAGGAATCCAAGCTTCTTGCATGTATTCTTGCCCTAGAAACCACTTCAGATGAGTGGACTGTGGCCAATTTATACTCAGAAGCCCAGTGACAGAACTAGACAAAGCCTAGGAGACAGAATGTCTTTAAAAAAATCCTAGAACTCTCCTAGAACTCCTAGAAAATCCTACAATTGCATGGTTTTCACAGTATCTGTACTGTCTGTAATAATCACTGAGGTTGCCAGCCTTTCTTAACCAGGGTTCCCCCTGAGGTTGCTATTAGTTCCCTGAGCAGTGAGCAGATTTGATCTCCCACCTACAGTGACCACCAATGCAAGGGTGAAACTTTCCACTAAACACCAAGTAAGGGGGTCATGTCTACACAGACCCCCAATGTTCAAGGACGCCACAATTTTTAAAAGGAGACGTATTGGGAGTGTAAAAATATACTCTTCCCAATACTTAAAGCCAGTTTGTGACACTACAGGTGTCACATGCCAGCTCTATAGGTCGTGAGCTGAGCGATCACACATCGCTGATCACTCAGCTCATGGTTTTCTCCATGCAAAGAGCAGTGACCGTGAGTCACCGATCCCCTGCATTTATTCCCCTCTCTGTTCCTCTGACGTTCATTGGAGGGACAGGCGGGAGGTGGCGGGAACTGCTGGCTCTAGATTGGTAGTGACAGCTGTCAATCAGGCAGCTGGGTGGATCGCAACAATATTGTTCTGATCTTTCCCGGCTGCAGAGTGGCTCTGTGCTGTCAGTAAATAGCAGGCAATAGACCTCTAGATGTTGAGTTTGGGTCACAGGAGGACATTAGTAAATGTCCGCCTGTGACTCAATAGAGGACTAAAGCACAAAAAAGGTTTGGCTTTAGTACTTCTAAAATACTTTCTTTCAGGAGGTTCAAGGTGGAGCTTCTGTGTACATGTGCGGAACAATATAGTTTTAACAAAACACTTATGAGATTGATTATCCGTGCGTGGCTGATCTTTAGCAACTGAGATTTGAGGTGTGAGTTGATGGGTTCCATCCAGCCAGTGGCTACAGACACAGCCATATTTTGGAAGCTTAGGAGTGGCAACTTCTTCTGGTCCACAATTTGAACTGTCTCAGAATAATCAATTTTAGCAGGGGTTCCCTAAGACTGAAAATTATTTTAAGGGGTCTACAAGGTGAATGGTTTGAGAAAGGTTGTGTTAGACGGTGTAAGGGAGGTGGTGGCACCATGTAAATCTCATTAAAAGAGAATACCTGATGTCGATCTCTACATGTATTGCCGTCAGTAAATGTGCATGTTCCTTAGCTATTTGAGTGGAAATATGTATTGAAATTTAGATGTAAGCTGCCATCGCTTGACTCCATTGGAAAAAGTGTATGTGAGCTATACCTGGAGGAAGCACCCAGGAGGAAAAAGTCAAAGGAACCAAATATGGATTCTTTCATTTGCAAAGAATGAACAGAAAAGGCACAAAACTTTAATCCGTAGTTCAACGTTTTGGGGGATTGGAGCACAAACACCAAGAAAATAGTTTGCAAGTGTTTCTAAAAAGTTGCTTTCGGTGCCTTTTCTTTAAAATTTTGTTAGTAGTAGTATTGTTTTTCTATTAGTTAATGCCAATGAAAGCTATTGTCTCTTGGCTGCTTTCAGTGACACTCTCTTTACTTGTGATGAATGACATTAAAAAACTAACCTCATATGTTGGCAGCAGGCACCACCTAAAGCCTGAGGATCTGGCTGGCTTTTATTTAGGTAGGATAACATTTCACCACAGGCCGCAAGAAATCCTATGCAAATCTTGACTTTTCAGAAAGTCACATTTGGGCAGAAACGCAATTAAATGTAGGTACTAGGGATGGACCGATATATCGGCCGCCGAAACATATCGGCCGAAAATGGCACTTTTGGCTAAATGCCGAAAGTGCCATTTTCCTGCCGATACATCGGCACATCCCAGGTTTCTCTCCTCCCCGCTGGGCGCTGCTCTGTGTCCCAGCATGGAGGAGAGAAAGTGACAGCAGGCCGAGCTCTGCGGGACAAGAGCGCTGTGAGCTGCCGGCGTCTCTCCTCCCACAACGCTCGGTCGCCTATAACAGTGCGGCAGAGTGGTGTGTGGGCGGAGACAGCGCTGTCACAGGAGGCTGGGCTCTCCTCTTGCACCGCTCACTCAGCCTCTGACAGTGTGTGCCAGAGAGGAGAGCGAGATACAAACACTCAGCGATCAGTGATAAAAGTTTATAAAAAATAAATAAAAATAAAATATTTTGAAAAACTGTAAAAATTTAAATAAAAACATTTTCGGTATCGGTTTCGGCCTGACAATTTTTTCTATTGTGGTTTCGTTTCGGTTTTTAAATTTCTATTTCGGTGCACCTCTAGTAGGTACCTCTAGGCAATCCAAGACCTTGTGTTAAACTGTGGCATGTGATACGTAGATTGAATTTCTCAAAGTTCACAAGCTACATTCAATGATTTGGGGCTCCAGGGAACCTTGAAAGCTCCTTTGATGTTAGTCAGTGGGATCTGTCACCATATTGCTATCATTTGGCAAATATGGTCAAAATACAAAATGACATTTCTGAGGTAGTCTGTCAACAGCATTTATACAGCAGTATTTGCTTTTTCTGAGCCCCTCTTGTAATTTTATTACCTATTAATCCTGCCAGTAGATCTCTAAACTAATGACCTGTACAGGCTTTTGAAATGTCGCCTATGGACAATTTGGGGTGCTGTATTTTGTTGCAGTGTCACAGACGCACACAATTTTTAACATGGGCATGTTGGATATCTATTTAATTATCGTAACCTCATCTTTTATATTTAATTTTTTTTAAAGGGGTATTTTATTGTGTTTTGTGGCACTAAAATTAACTTTTAAGTGCATTTTTTACAAAATTTTGGGGTTTAATAAAGAGTTGAGCTAATATCATGAGGCAGAAAAATTTGCAATTGCAATCATTTTATTCTACAGGGTCTGTGCTTTCAGAAAATATATAATGCGGGATACTCTTGGCAGCGAAAATGTTAAACCACATGAATAAAATGTGACCCTTGTAAGCACTCCACCAGTGTGACATGGTTGATCCTAAATAACCCTGTAACTGCAACACTTGCTGGAAAGCTTGGCCTGTTACAAAAAGTGAAAAAATATTATTTATTACAGGTATTTATAAAGAGCCAACAATTTACACAGCTGTTATATCAGTTCTAAAGCCAAGAGCAGCAGGTAATAAAACTATGTTATAAGGGAAACTGAGAAACAGAAAAACGTCTGTGTTAATATGCTACTGACAGACTGATGAATAATTATTATTTTGCCTGTAATTACACTTTGAATTAAAACTGGTTGTGCAAACTTGGATCTGAGTGCCTATAACCACCTGTACTGTTACCTACATTGGCCGATGGGGGGAGGACCAGGTTACCCTAAGGGGAAATGATGTGGGTTTTTTTTTTACAACTGTCAGAAGTGCTAGTTACTCCACACAACGATTTTCTAACCTGCTTAAAAATCTCTACCAGATTATGAAGATGGAAGCAACCAATTTAACATTGCAGCAAGTTGATGTAAATTGGTTTCATTGCCAGTTGTCACCAGTCAGATATCTGCTTGTCTATAGTCAGACATATACTTGGAGACACATCTGCTCATATCAGCGCACATTAGTAGAATATGAACGCAATATTGAACTAGAATTAGAGTTACACAGATTAGGTTTAGAATTTCCAATTAGAACAATTCTTTCCAGATTGTATTGCACTTTTCATTATTATCCTAAGACAGGCACAGGAAGTACTCACACGAAGTATGTGAACACCAGAACCTCTTCTGTCAGCAACACTCAAGGCAACATTGCCTTGGCTGCCATGCAGATCCCTAGAGCTGCCATACACAGAGCTGCTAGATGCAGTGTAAGTGGAATTAAAGGACCGTGACAGCATGCTCTGAATAGAGAGGAATAAATGTAACAACACAGATTAGTAAAGCATGCATATACAACCAACAATGGGTTACTCGCACATCCACTCAACACATTTCCGTGTCATGCGCATCTCATGCAAATACAAACACAGCAGTGTGGGTCAGTCAGCGTCCTATACCATTAACCCAAAATAAGGACATGCAACCTTCAGGTGACCCAACAAACAATAGAAACATTACAGTTACTAAACACATAACACACACAAATCCAATGCAACAGAATAATGGGAACTGGCGAGAAGGTAACAGTTTCTTCTTTCAGCTACTGACGCTAAAAAAAATGACTGCTGGCTTCCTTGATTTTATAAATCAACCCCATTATGTTTAGAGATGGGAAGAAGGAGGGGGAACACAAGAGCCCGTCTTCACTTTCATGGTAATTCTATTTTCAGCAATGGCTCTTTTTTTATAGGTAATGACAGCAATTGTGGCTAAGTAGGTTTGCAGCAATACCAGTACATGGCCACTGGGTGGCAGTAAAGTATCATGAATGCAATGAAGATATAAATAATATGCGTGTTGTTCTCTTTACCAATAAAACACACACATTTTCCATTTGTTTTACTATTTATATTTCTTTTACAGATCAGTGCTAGTGTTTGTAAATGCATATGCGCATGCATGTGTCTTCTGCACGCCTTTATTACATGTTCAGCAGTGCTTACAGTAACCCGGTCAGGTGATCAAACTAAAAATAGCTAAAAATAGCATCAAAATCTAACTGAGGTGCTCACAAGACCTACAGAATGCAATCTAGGAATGGTCAGTCACAGGCACGCACTATACATGGGACCCCGACTCAAAACTAAACCCTGCCCCCCGAACCTGGATCCCTAACCAAAATTGTCTACTGGCCACCGAAGCTCATATTAGACTTCTGAATAGAGGAATAAGGTTTAAATCAGAGAGAGGTTGGGGGTTAGCTCACAATCAGAAGCCAAGGCAATTTGAATAGTGTGGGCATATGATCAAGGGGTTACACAGGTACTAGAAAAGTTGAGATGTATTGAACACTAACAATCACCTGAGAGGTCACATCACCCTTCAAGTGCACATGCTTTTCACACTAAATACCAGAGTACATTATAGGCAGTTTCCTCTCATTTTAAATAGGGGCTGCATAACAGGTAGATATTTATGTTGCACCTATTTTGGTGCATCAATAAACATAAACACGTCATGTGCTCCTCATTCATAATGACAAGGCACAGCTCAGGCATCTGACAGCTGCCGTCACAGAGTATCACAACTGTGAACATTACTAGTCTATATCCCACCCTATATGAGTGTGGCAATGTTATATACAGTTTCTGTTGTTTCAGACGAGGTTTAAATTATTCTAGAGAAATAAAATGCAAAAGAGATATTTTATAGAGACTCTGTTGTATCAAGGGGGGGGGGGAGCAAAAGGAAGGTATAAAGTGTGAGCAAAACCTTGCTGTTACGGCTGAATAGTGGGCCATAGTGACAGGCAAGAAATGCACTTCCAAAAGTGCCAACGCATGCTTGATTTTCTCTGCCTCCTTCACGGTCATACTGGGGCCAGTAAGGCTTCCCACCATAGGACCAAAAGGAATGTGTGGGGGCGGGAGGTAGCAGCACAAGTGCAAGTCAGAATGGACAGGATTCAGCCGTTACAGCGGTGGCTGCATCAGATAAGTGCACCTATAGGTGCCTGCACCTCATACCTAGAGCAGTTTCCCCTGCTCTAGGTATCCCCCCCCCCCAATAAGTATAAACCAGAATAGGTCTAAAACATTAACACATGCATTGCTCTATTGTTAGGCATCTGCTATGTTTTGTAAAATGTAGACAACATTACACTGATAAAGCTGACTGCTGCCCACATTAGCTGACCAGACTTTCATTTTCTGCTATGAGCAGCACAGACAGTTCATTGCATCACGCTCAGTAATGAGAGTTTCGGTAATTTCCTAAAGAGAAGTCTTTAAGGTAATCTGTTGCTCTTACCTTTTCAAGCTTTTTTGCCTCTATGTGCCGCAAGACCTGCTCTCTCCAGTCATGAGGTACCTTACTCCTGCCTGGGGCGTCCAGCAAGGAGTGCTCCGAACTAACCCTAGCATTTGGCTTTTTAGTGGGACTAGTCCGAGAGTAGTTAAAATCACTAACAGACATTGTTCTCTCAGGAATATCATTAACGGAAGGCCGTGCGCTCTGTGGTCTGGGCACATTGGGACCATCAATGCTATATGTCCTGGCTGAGAGCGGTCTCTGTGGGCCTGGTATCATGTGTTGAGGTCTGCCCATTGAATGAATGTCTCTGTAAGTCATATAGTCTCCTTCGGGTACAACAATCCTCCTTGTGGGACCTGTGTCGCCCAGGGACATAGAAGCATTAGAAGAGACGCTGCCTTGTCTCTGCAGAGTGTTACGGCTTACACCCTGGTGGAGCCGATCATTGGGGGACACTGCCCATGCCTCCACGTGCCTTGGTCCCATCCTCTGGTGTACACCGTACATGTTACCGGCCCTCACATTGTTATGATTAGAAAAGTTCATATTGGCAGAGTGTTTGATGTAGCTGGGGCTATCTAAGCTGTCGGACATATGGAAGCGTGGAGGAGGCAAGGTTCCTTGATCCATTGAGGCCATTTGTTTCTGTGTCCACAAATTATCTTTGGCTGCAGCACTACCGCTACTGTACTGAACATTATATTGAGGCACAGCAGACAACTGGGGTCCCGGAGGACCTCTCATTGGATACGGTGCCTCCGGGTTGTGGTTGGAATCAAATTTAAACACGGTTTTCTTTCCGGCAGATACCAAATCCGACGAGGAAGATGAACTAGAGAACACTTGCAATGGCTGATCATACAAAAAAGTTGCTGATTTGCTCCTAACAATATTTTGTCCTTCACCACTTGCCCCTGCTGACTTGCTAACATACAATGGCTGCTGAGAGCCGCTGTCACTTAGGATGTCATAGATCCTTAGCTCTCCCATCTCAATGTTGTTTATGCTGTGAGATTTCACAACAGGACCCATAGAGTCTCCCAGCTGTGGAGACAAATCATCTGTGCTCTTTGAAACACACAAGTCAAAAGAAGGCACTGAATCCTCTGATACACTCCTGAAAGGCTCACTCATTTCTGGAGACATATCCTCATCTGGAGAGTGCCCATTAACCTTATTCATTGCACACATATTGGGGTAGGCCTTCCTGTTTTCCAGGAGTTGAGCCTCTTGTTTCTCATTATTGTTCAAAAATCCCTCTCCAGACCTCAATTCCTGCGAAATAAGCGGCCGCTTCAGAACATCCGGATGCACGCTCTCATCATTTGTGAGGTTATTGTTTATGTTGATTTGGTTCAAGTTGTGTGGTTTGTCTGCCGTATTATTGACTCTCTTCTCTTGAACCAAGTTCTCTTCACTGTCCAATGACGGGATCTCTGTAATTTGCCTCTCTTCAACATCTTTCAATTTTCCTCCATTATGTAAAAGGTTGTTCAAATTTTCATCTTCTTGTCTGTAAGCAGAACACAAGACTGTGAGGCCTAAATGACCCTGATTAAAAAAAAAAAGTGTGCAACCTTCCCAGCAAATAAATATGTACATACATGTTCTGTTACAGGTACAACTTGAATGTTTGCAATTGAAAAACGATTTATCTTTGCAGAAATACAGCTACAAGAAATGAGTGCTTGGATCACAGTATACCATGCTATAGTCTTTTTCCATCTTCCCTGAGTAGGTAAGCTATCTTCCCTCTATTTGAATCCTGGTTTAATCGTTAGCACATGGAATTACTTTAGTATCAATATTGGATACAGACCTTAATTTTATGCTCATCGCAATCCTAGATTCTTTTTCTGGCGAGCACAGGGAGGTATCATGGCTGCTGACGGTGTTCAATGAGACGGAGTCTGACATACGTGACGGTGAGGAACAATTACTGTTGTTCTGATTGCTGTTTTGGGTTATTTCGTCCGATAGAGAGTCTGAATCTTTAATATCATCTGAAAGATAAAAGATCAAGCCAGTCAGCACCGGGCAAACTGCCAAAACACAATGAAAAGAAGTTTGCAGCAATTAAAGAAAAAAAAAAAAAAGAAGAGTGGGACACTGAAAATGTAGGAGCCAATTTAAAGAAGATTTCTTCTACGCACCAATTTACCGCATATAATTTTATAAAAAAGTATTGTTCTCTTGCCTCTTACTGCCTGGAATATGTACAGCCATTGCTTTCTCCTCATGCCACAATGGAGTTGGACTCGGTAACAAAAGACATAGATGCACTGGGTGCTCTCATGTTCTGCTTTATACAAACTGCACAGTTATTGAGTATGATAAAGGCACAAATACAGACATGTGTGGATGTCCGGGACTGAACTGTATATTAGCGGCACACCCACTACAAATGCTGCAAGTAAAACTGTTACTTTTAACAGTTTTTGTGATTTCAGAGGTTAGTCAATTTCTTTTCTTGTTTAATAATACAGTGCAAAGACCAATGGTGTACAGCAAATCATTATAAACAATTAGAACAGTTTCATGTAACTAGACTGATGAGCGCTGCTCACTTTTTGTTCTTAGCACAATGTAAACAAATGAATTCCTTTGTGTTAAACAAAGCGCAAGGCAAATGTTGAACAATGCACATGACATACAAGCGGGTGCACAGCAGTAATAAACAAACAAGAACTGCAGCGGCAACCCTGACAGATGCTGCAACCTGTCTTCTTACAAGCCACAGGAATGCCGCCTTCTTTCACTGGGATTCTTTACTTATTAAAAGATGGAATAAAGAGTATGATTTTTATTGATTCGTAGTATGCAGATCATCCCTTTCTGAATAAGCTTTTTAGCAAGCTGAGCAGTTAAAGTGTAAGTTGTTATTCTTGTTTTTGATGGATAGGGGATGGATTAGAACACCATTAGAGAAATGTATCCTCACTTGCTGACAGTGGTTTCACCAGACAAGAAGTGTGGAAAAATCTGACACGGGTTTTAGCCTTTTTTACTGCAGAAAAGTACTTTAATTTCTCTCTGTGTTGCTGTGGGAAAGTTTCCCTCACATTCTGCCTGGTAAAACACTCTAACAGAGCCCTGAATAACACAAGGATTCTAACTAGGGATGCACCCACAATGGTTGATCGGTATCGAGTACCGATATTTTTTTTCCAGTACTCGCTGATACAGAGTATGGAGTACCGGTGCCTTGTGCCCAGATTATCAGGAAGTCGAGGCGGCGGATCATGACCCATTGCCCGGCTTCCTGATTGCCTGTGAAGCCGGTGTTCTAGCAAAAAAACACTGGCTTTAGAGGCTGCCAGGCTTCCTGACCAAATCAGGAAGCTGGGCGGCGAGTCATGAGGTGCCGACCGACTTTCTTATTGGTCAGGAAGCCAGGCTGCATAGCAACATGACCGGCCTCCCGGCTTCTGATTAGATAGGAAGCCGGCTTCACTTGTTCCTATGTAGCCTGGCTTCCTGACCAATAAGGAAGCCAGGAGGCTGGTCATTACATGCCGCCCAGCTTTCTGATTGGTTAGGAAGCTAAGCTGCTTAGCAACACGTGAAGCCGGCTTCCTAGCCAATCAGAAAGCCGGGAGGCAGGTCATTAGCCACCACCTGGATTCCTGATTGGAAAGGAAGTCGGCTCCATGCTCCCTTGAGCACTGCTGGTCAAAGAGAGTACTCGCCCATATACTCGTTATTGCCACCGATACTAGTATCGGTACATCCCTAATTCTAACCCTTCTTTATTATATCCTGCACTAAGCAGCTGAGGTATAAAAACTTCTGTCTACCCAATAGCTGTATAGAGTGAATGCCGTACACATGGCATCATTGCCACTAGGTGGAGCCAAGAAGCAGGGAATTTATATGCTCCTTGCCTCCATTTAGTGGCTATAATGCAATGCTAAATGGCATTCGCCCAGCTATACAACAGGTGGAAGTTTTGAACATCGATACCTAGAAAAAAAATGTAAAAAAAAGTTTTGGCTTGACATACACTTTAGGCGTTTTCCCATAGTGAACCATTCTTTTGGGTCCGAGTGCCAGGAAATGCTTGCTCGAGTTAGGGTTGCCCATTTTATTGGACTACCAGGTGAATAGATCTTTCCTACAGAAAGACCAACAGTAATGGTCCTCCATTGTACACACAGTAATTTCCAGTAATGGCCCTCCATTGTACACACAGTAATTTATAGTAATGGTCCTCCATTGTACGCACAGTAATTTATAGTAATGGTCCTCCATTGTACGCACAGTAATTTATAGTAATGGTCCTCCATTGTACGCACAGTAATTTATAGTAATGGTCCTCCATTGTACGCACAGTAATTTCCAATGAAATATCTAAACCGTTCTCTGCATAGAATAGAAAGTGATCACTTCTCAAATAGAATGTTTTGGAGAAACTCTATATGTAATGATAAATGCTTAAGCAGTCTAAGCCCTGCAAAGTCCACCTGTTGTATGCAGTGTATGGCAGTGCTCACCTTTCTTATTGTTGTTCAGTGCCACCACTTTCGGCTTATTCATGGACGTCTCAATAAGCGGTGGCCGCATTTCAGCCATCTTCATTTCTTCATCACATGACAAATCTTCAGATTCCTGCTGCAACACAAAGAAAAACATCTTTATTTTTCAGAAACCCATTTCTGAAATGAAACAAGAGTTTGTTTTGTTGCACTGGAATGTTGCAGTCAAAGTGATTGACTTGGAGTTGTTGCCCACAGCAACCAGATGTTTCAACATCTCCGAAGAAAGATGCAATCTGATTGGCTGGTTGCAATAAGTGACCGTGGAGGTGTCCCAAAATCGACAAATCAGATATTTAAATTTTCCAAATGAGAAAAAGATCACATCTGACTGCTTGGGGAACAGCTCCACTGCCATCAATGTTTTTCATAAATTATGGTTTAAAAAGCCAATAGCAAGAATTAGCTTTTCTTTGCCCTACAGCCGTCTATCTAATTTACACATCCCCTGGAAAATACCACTTGGAATCACAAAAAAATCATCTCTTATTACTGACACTGTGATCATGAGGCCCAATGTTCTCCGTTACAGGTTTGTAACTTTAGAATTAATCAGCGTTCCCCTTTCATCTTCTAACTTGCACTTGCAGAACAAATGCGAGAAGATAAATGAATGCCATGGGCAACACAGACAATTCGCCCTGACACATTCTGCCTTAAGGCTTTATCATACCTGGAAGAAGAGAACTGAGCTCTCAAAAATGTGCAATCTTCATCTGGAAATAAAAGGTATCAGTTCAACTCCAGAGTTCCCCAATTCTGTCATTAGAGGTCAGCACTCTGCTAGCGTGCTTCCTAGTTCACCTATAACACAGCACATCTATGACAAACGGAATGTGGCATGCTATACATACTGCACCTACAACTCTGCTTTCAGATCTCCTGACTGTCGAAAAAAGTTTCTCTTTAGGACGTCCAATGCAAATACGACTTAAATTAGCAACTTAAACTGTATTAAAGTGAAATATAGAATGCCCTTCCTAAAAGATTAGATAGAATCTTGGCCCTTAGGCACTCCGTGAACTCATCGCAGATGAAAGACCTCTTCAGAATAGAGATAATCAACCCTTACAACCCTTTATTTTTAGGTAGAAAGGGTGTCAAATTCCTAGTAAGCAGGGATGGAACATTTCAAACAGAAAAAGAACATGCAGAGCAAGAAATAAGGATTTCAGCAGAGTAAAATATGGTTACACCCAATCTTGTTTTAAAGATCTGTAAAATCTGCATCAGTAATTTCAATCAATTAACTTTCAAATGAAATGCACTTACCCTTTGTTACTCAGCACTTTAAAAGAAACATTTTCCCCGGAGTTCTTCTTTAAAGAACTCTGGGCAGAAATGTTATGAACACTTGCAGTAGGACTACCCTTGCACCGCAAGGGTTAACTGCTAATGTCCCTTGGCGTACTCACATGCTATACACTATATTGGACGTTATGACTCAAGGATTTCTAGAGGGGAGAGGGAGAGGCACTCCAGGGACCGGTGTAGGAAGCTGCCAGCTCCGAGGATTAGGTGAGAATAACTTTTTATTTTTGCTACCCTTGGCAAACACAAGCAGAGTTAACACTTGCAGTGCAGGGGTGGCCCCACTGCAAGGGTTAATAAAATGTCTGCCTGGAGTTCTTCTTTAAAAAAGGAATGATGCCAAACATACCGAAAAATAGATTTTGGATTCATATACACTTTATAGCGGGACCTGCTCTGGCTATAAAAAAAAAAAAACTATAAAAGACCAGTAGCCATATAACTGTTTTTGCTGTCTTTATAGCAACAGTTTTATTATATAGGACTTATTTCAAGCAGTTACTGGCATGTCAATCCCGCAGGATAAAGCTACAGAACTATTATGGCTTTTCTGCACTTTTTATCTCCATGTTTCCCTGTTAATGTAAACATAAACCATGTTTTCCACTCAACCTTTTATAGGCCCCTCAAGTCTAATGTTGCAACCCCATTATTGCCATTTCTTATACATATACAAGGAGCTTTTCTCTCTGTGTAGAGCAAATGCTATATGTTAAGCTCTCAATGTATGGAGAGTTCTCCATTGTGGAAACATTCACATACAAAACTTCTAAGTAATTCAGACTATGTTAAACTAATGACGGCTATTAAAATCAACAAGACAATGCTTTGAGCACGCACAGAGCCATACCTCAAGTGTCTCATCATGGTTGACAATAGTTGTTGCATTCCAGAAATTTTTAACAAGGTTATTCGGCTGTGAATTTGCAATGCTATTCTGCGTTTCTGGATCACTTGCTTTCTGTATGCAGTTCCCGGCAAGGAGCTTTTGCTTTTCTTCATCCTCGGGCTTAGCTGGAACAGACTCCAACGACTAGACACAAATAAAATTAAGCATGGGTAAAATAAAAGCTATTACAAAGGCAAATCACATTAGAATCAGGGTGCAGTTGAAGTTGATTTATGAGACAACAGATATTATGCATAACTTCATTTTCTGAAATACTAATACAATATTTTCAACCGCAGTACAGCTACTGATCAGCAATATTCTGCAATACTCCACAGATGACGCCCGCCCGCCCAAAAAAAAATCAAATGCCATTATTAAAAAACAAACACAATCTTTTTAGTGTAAAAACACCTGAGTAACTAAGTTTGAAGAATACATGGTGGGGTTTAGTAGGTATTTTAGATTTTTGTAATTAATGATCAGGACTGGAAAATGAAAAGGTTACAATAGATTTTTTTGTGATGAGGTAAATGTCAGAATCCTACATATTATTATGCATCCTTACACCCAACCAGCAGGTGGGGCTTGAGCCTTCTTTTCACAAGTTTCCCTGTCTCCCCATGCTCCTTTTTTTATAAAAAGGCTAAAATAAGCACACTAGCTCAAGCTGGAATTTAGATTTTTTTTTGCAGAGAATTAAATCACCATCTGCTTGTATGTGTTAAGCAAGCACACCGGAATCACGACGTATATTTTTTAGAACCTCATGTGAGGTTTCACTTGAATCGTCTCTCATCCAGGTAATTGGCTTTCCTGGCTTTTACAGTGATATGAAATGGTTAGCAGGTTAAAAATAGTAAGAGGGTGCTGCAATAGAAGACACCACAACAGTATACTGTGAGGAGAAGGAGTGAAGAATGACTTGTGTTTATACTATGCCTTCTGACCTCAACACACAGAAAGCAACCTTTTATATCTTAATTAATTTCTAAATGATGGTAAGGGAATGCGGGCACTAGATGCAATATCTACCCCACAGAACTAATGTCTCACCTTCACTGTTGTGTCATTCAGGAGGGATTGAGCTTCATTCAGCTTTGCCTCTTTATTGGCTTCCTCACCCTTCTCTTCTTCTTTCAACCGATGTACAATAGTCTGAACCGTTTTCACCATGTTCTTCAACTCATCAGGGTATGGGGTTGGATACCTCTTCAAATGTCCTTCCTAGAGTACAGGAAATCATACAATTGAACATACAATTGAAAATGAAAACACTCACACAGTGTGTTGTAATACATATTCTCTCCAGGAAAGCCTATCCCACCCCAAACTAACCAATTAACTATCTTTCTCAAACAATTCATCCCCACACAGCTACCTCCTCATGTATCACTTGCCCCTCCCTCTTAGACTGTAAGCTCTCACGGTCAGGGCTCTCCTTACCATCTGGTCTTCAATTGTATTGTAATGTCTTCCTTATATTGTAAAGCGCTGCACAAACTGTTGGCGCTATATAAATCCTGTATACTAATACTAATAATAATAACAGAGCTTTGCTCACTAGTGCTTATGCTTTATATCCAGCAATCCAACTACTTAAAATCCCAGGCATTCATTTAAAATAGGGTAGAAAACTCTCAAGTAAGATGGTGCAAACTTTAGTCGTATGGCCAGAATCAATTATCGCTAGGGCTTTAAAAAAAAGCAACCAAACCCCATCAGTTAATCATTGTTAGATTTAACATTTCAAATTCTTCCAAGGAATTTTAGAAGCATCTCACCTGAGCAAGTACAAAAAACGGTGGGTGATATGCATCATCACTAAAGAAAATCCCAAGTTTGCCCAAAACTTTCTTTTAGTTTTGGACAAAGTGGCAAAGGGTTAGAATATCTCTCAGATATTTATTCCTGCCTTTATCCCCATTAGGAAGAATTTTCCTCACATTTTATTCGGGGTGATTGTGGTCACTGAGACAGGAAGTGAAATCTTCTAACAGGTAAACAAACAATAGTAGTAAATAGGGATGTCCCAATACCGATACTAGTATTGGTATTGGGGCAGATACCAGGCATTTTCACGAGTACTTGTATTCGTGAAAATGCACCGATTCCTAAGGCCGATGCTGGCTCTTTAAATTTTTGTCGGGACCTCAGCAGCCTGCTGGGGACCTGGCAGTAGCTGTCACTGGCAGTGCCTGTCCATTTCTATACATATTTTAAGCACCCAGTGAGCAACTGCCTCACCTTATCCCCTGGATGTATAGGGATACTTCTGAGCATAAAAGAATACAATAATTTCATTATTTTTTTTTACACCAATGCCAAACTATTTCATGTGACAAATACAGACCCGTGCTGGAGCTTCTCTCTCATCCTTGTCATCGTCGCACTCAAAGGCAACCTGAGCCCTCTGCTTCCGCTGTTCTTCCCATAGAGAGGGGTTAAAACTCTCGTTATCAGAAGAGAAGATAACTGCAAAACAAACACAAAGAACATTAACATTCCTTAAATTTACAGAATCTGGAATCACTATCAGACTCCTAATCATAGAACATTTAAACAAAGCATGTAAATATAGGGGCCACAGGCAATGTAGTCCTTCTGTAATTGCTAAAGTGACATGACACATAGGCGGAAGGGTTGTTGTGGTTCATACACATTTTAACCATCTTCTTAAACAAGTACTTAGGACTTTGGTATAGCTAGGATTAAACTGAAATAAACCAGAAAACTACGCTACCATATCTATCTCTGCATTAAATAAAGGTTACAGTTGTGAATCTGCTTTGGCAATGTCAGTTAAAGAAAACCTGAGGAACGTGGAGGCTGCCATTGCTGATCTTTCCATGTGAAAACACCTTGAAGACATGCTGACCCTCTTGTTCAGTATTTTGGGTCACTGATCCTAAAAGTTATTTATATAAAAAGCTCTGACTTATGTCTTTCTTCATCTACAGGGGTTAGCGACTATAAATATTCACCTTTCCTGGTGCATGTGGTGCTGAACGCTGCTTTGTTCACAAGTTCTCACCTCCCGATGTCCAATGGGAAACTGACATTTCCAGAAGTGTCAATCTCCTGTGTCCCTCGCAGCTCGCACTAGTTCCTCCCTCTGCCCTCACATCACTACTGAGTCCTACAGTGACTTGGAGGTAACACCTATTTTATATTTATTACATTTTCCATTCACATAGCATAGGCTACAATTAAATGTTTTTATTTATATAGCGCCAACATATTCTGCAGCTCTGCACAATTGTTTAGACAAGACAAGTAACACTGACAAGCATCATTGACATACAGAAACAGTAGGCGAGGAGGACACTGCCCAAACAAGCTCACAATCTAAGAGGAAAGGGACCAAAGAGATAGTGGTGGGGAGGAGGAGACTACAGATGTAAACCAAATAAAATAGGAGGGATTTGGGAGGACTGTGCAATGGGAGCAGAAGGGACGATTGTATAGGGTGAGAAATCAAGATGTGTTTTGAGTGATTTTTTAAAATCGTGTAGGGATGGTCAGAGCCTGATGTGTAGGAGCGAATTCCATAAAGTGGGGGCAGCCCATGTGAGGTCCTGTACACGAGAATGGGTGTGCAGGTGAGTGGTGCTGGATAGTCTCATATCATTGGTGGATCGAAGGGGCCGATTTGGAGTACATCTTCTAATCAGGGATGAAATGTAAGCTGGTGCACGGTTATGTAGAGCTTTATAGGTAAGGCTGAGAAATTTGAAATGTATCCTAAAAGAAACATGTTAGGGTTTTAAGGGTTAACATTTCTTCAAGCTATTTCTTTGAAATGATCGGAGGGGCTGTGAGGTGGCTTGTCCATTGTATGTTAATGAAGCTCATCAGATAAACACAATCCTCAAATTTCAGTCCCATGTCTTTCTATAAGGACAGACCACTGTGAAAGGGCCAAAAAAAAACCTGGAATCAGCCATCTTGACTGATTTAATAAAACATCTAAAAAATAAGATTTTTTTTTTGACAGTTATGTTTTAGTATGCTGTGTGAATAGGAACACATTATGAACATATTGAGGGGTTTTCTCAAATTTGACTGCAAATGTGGAAATATACTTTAAGGTGAAGACAGCAAGAGATCAGTGGCTGGTACAGAATTGGTTATTACAAATTTCCCCAGAATTACACAACTGCCGGTACAGGAATGTTTCTGTCTGAAGATGTGTTAAGTGCCACTGCAATGATAAAACAAGTCCCACAAAGTTGAAGCCTCTGGTAGCGGCAAGTCTTGGCCCCGGCAAACGGTCCTGTGCTGCCCCTTCCTACACCAGTTGACTATCACTAGGACTATAAGATCTGACAAAATACAAGGAATACAAGGAAAATGGTCATTCCATTCAAATCCAGTATTGCCCACAACTACTGATATAAAAAAATCTAAACACCTTCAATAGGTGACTCATTATACCAAGTACATGCATTATGGAGGCCCAAAGGCCTTTCTTGCATTTAAAAAAAGATCTTCAGACTGAAAAAGCACCAGTACCTGGCATAAAGAACTCTTTACACCAGTATAATAACATCAAGCTTTGTCACACCCTGCATAACCTTATAAACATTTTCAAATATGTAACTGTGTAGATTCATTGAAATCACTGCACCTGCTCTGGTCACAAATCAAAATACAAAAAAAACAACCTGGCCTTTATTCTCTCTTGTCCATCTGGTAGAGAATAATTAATCTGCATGGTAAACATCTAGCATACCAGTCTGCAGTGACAGGAGGCTCAAATGAAGCAGATTGTTATCCCAGAACAAAGAACAGTTCTGTAACTGCTGGAGCATGAAATATATTCCAATGTGAACATCCACCTGATGGAACAAGTATGTTATACACAGGCCGAGCCAGCCTGAACTTTATGTCACAAGGAGTAATATATTAATGTTCCTGGGCTCTTTAACCCTTTCCCACTGGCTGTACCCATATATGTGGCAGCACAGAGGTGGACCGTATGTGTAAAGCCGGTATCGCTGTTTTGTGTTGAGAGAGAGTTCTCAAATATGCACCCTCCAGTACTGTGACCAGCTTCCAGACACAGAGCAACAATCAGGAACTGGTAGGACAGGCTCCCGATCACGTGATCAATGTGACAGCCACCCACAGTGATCACATGCTCTGGAGTCCCAGGAAAGACCTCCAGCATTTACAACTCTGGAAGGGCCAACAGATAAAAGCTCTCTTTAGTACCAGACTATGAGCTTCTACACTTAGAAGAGTTTTACCAAATTGGGCCTATCTAATTTAAATGGTCAACCAATCCAAAAGTAATATTGCAGTTACAGGTGGCGTCTGGTGGGCTGAGTAACTTTCTTGTTTGCGTGCATCCTTTGGGTCCTCAATCATTGAGATTTCATAGTTCCTCACTGATCTTAAAGTCTACAGCCTACTTCTACAGTGAAGACTGTTCCCGCTGTTGTACACCCCATAATGTGGTCCCTTATAATTGTCTTGATCCCGACCATGGACTGTAAGTGCAGAGTGAAGTCCTTGAGAGATCTAAGTAACCTTAACTGATTTTACCCTTTAGCATCAATTGAAAGTGAGGCAGTGTGGAAGTGAAAGTGAGGCAGTGTTAAATATGTCAAGTGCCCCGCACCCAATTGTCCTTACTTTCATCCGTTCGTGGTTGTTGAGGGAACATATAGTTGGTTAAAACCGTTTTCTCAGTATCCGGATCAGTCTCTTTTTGCAGTTGTATGAGGGGCTTGGACTGTAAACAAAAAAGTTTCTTTAATAAATGATATTAAAATGCTCACAGTTTTAGAAGGGTTCCAATAAAACTTTGTAACAAAAGAATTAGAAATATAAAAGAGGTGGCTTGGATAAGCCACAAAACATCTTCAACATTACAGAATACTATTAACTATACTGTGACCTGTATAAATGATGACCTTGACAGACACATGTGCAACAGTGCAAAAGAACTCTATGGAAAAAATTAATTCATACATTAACACCAGGTTTAGGAAGGTGATTGGATGGTAAAATGAGAGATATGTTGAAAAATGTTCCCTATACCTAGAGCAGGCCTGTAAACATACATGGTTATGTGCCTTGACATAAACCCGCGGTCGCTTCTACACTGGGATGGGGGTGTGGGCACTGTCCTTAAATGTTCAACCCACTCAACAGCCATTTTTGCAAAGAAAGTCTGCTGCACGGCTAATGAAACCTGGAGAGCCAGTCCAATCATTGCTTGAACCCGTTGTAAGTATGGGGCAGTGACATAAAATGCACCCCACCAAACTGTATATGTGCCACCACTAGGGGTCTTCAAACCTCTGTGCTATAGTGAAAAGCAATGTAGCTTAAAGAAGAGCTCCTGTCCAAACATTAGAAAACCCTTTTATACAGATAATGATAGCAGATGTGTTTAGATCAAGTTTAGGACCTATGTGTAAAAACTAAAAAAAGGACAGGGGAATAAAGGTTGAACTGTTGCCCATAGTGACCACCGCACATGCACGGACAGCGAATCAAAAGCCAAAGGTCTCCTATGGCTTAATTTTCCAAAAAATGAGAGAAATCTTTTTGGTCACTGTGATCAACAACTCCCCTTGTGTTCCCATTTTTCTTTTCCAGTTTTCATAAACCTAAAATGATAAAATATGCATCCATGCATAAATATTAAAATTTTGGTTAGTTCATAGAGAGAATCAGTCTTCTTTAAAAAGCTACTCAACAATATAGTCCTATTCAAAATATAGCTCGTCATATTCAAAATCTTAGATTCTTAGACATTTACAAATAATTTAATCTTTCAAATTTTTTTCTGCAAAGTTTTTTGGATTACTATGACTAGTGTTCTTACTAATACCTACTTTAAATAGTAAAAACATTTCCCACAAACCAAAGATTACACTCCTTTATCCAATGTCCGCACGCACGCAGTTCGGCCCCATAGGCTTCTATGTAGACAGATAGGATCCTATCCGTCTAACAGAGTTGTACATGTCTATGGGACTGAACTGCACATGCACAGACAGTGAATTGATAAGCTGGCAGAAACCTAAGTAAATATTGCAATCTAGGGGTGTGGGTGGGGGCTATACCTGCTTGTGAAGGTGGGGACAAATGGTTAAGAAAACTTAGCAGGAAAGTTTCCGTACCCTTTAAAACATTTTAATTTTACTAGATATTTTGTAAGCTTCTCTTGCTAGACTATCCTATACACTACAACATATTGTAACAAATATTGATAAACCATTGCTATACTTTTCCCCTCCCAAGTATCCCCCTTACTTTATTAATGTGTTATTTGTATAAACATGACAAATTTAATGAAGACATATTTAACATAAATAATCGTTTCCTGTCATTTTCTGCAGCTGGGAGGGCTGTTAAAAAGCAAACTAGCAGATTTCCTAAACTAGACACCCAGAAAAATATGTTGTCAGTGTTTACCCTGCTGCAAGATCACTGAGAGATGGTGGAAGCCATAATGTGTCTGCGGCTTCCCCCACCACTGATTGCTACAACATTCTGTGGAGGCAGAGTAGCTTTTAATGCTTTGCAGGACAAGGTTCTCCATTAGGCATAGCAGTCCATCTATAGGTGGCAGTTGCAAAGAAGCAGCTTTTAGGCTGGGTTCACACCTAGGCTTATTGAAAATGCGCGTTTGTCGCGCACTTCGTGACGCACGTTTTTACCGCGATTCGCGGTTAAAAAACGTGCGACAAACGCGCGTTTCCGAGGGCTACTTGGCTGTATCCCAATGGAAACACACAACAAAAACGCCCCAAAGAAGCTCCTGTACTTCTTTGGGGCGTAGGGCGTTTTGTAGCGCGTTCATACGGCCTGTAATAAGCCCAGGTGTGAACCATACCCATAGGAAATAATGGGATTTCGGTGTTTGAGCGTTTTTCAGAGCGTTCGAACGCGCTACAAAACGCCCAGGTGTGAACCAGGCCTTAACAGTATAGTTATTGCCCACACATTCTCTGTCCCCCCCCCCCATAATTTGCTTACAAATATTTATGCCATATAATAATGTGAGCCAGGTTAGACTTAGGACTAGACAAATGTAAGTCTGGGTTCACACCTAGGCGTTTTACGTATGCACGTCTGTCGCGCGACCGTCACGCGTTTTTTTTACCGCGGTTTGCGGTAAAAAAAATTGCGCGACCGTTGCGCGATTCCGAAGGCTGCTTGGCTGTATCCCAATGGAAAACGCCCTCCAAAACGGCCCAAAGAAGTACATGTACTTGTTTGGGCGTCAGCCGTTTTGTAGGGTGTTCAGACGGGTGGAAATACGGAAAGGTGTGAACCATACCCATAGAAAACAATGGGATTTTCATGGTTGTACGTTTTGTAGAGCGTTCATAGAGCGTTGAACGCCCGACAAAACGGAAAGGTGTGAACCATACCCATAGAAAACAATGGGATTTTCATGGTTGTACGTTTTGTAGAGCGTTCATAGAGCGTTGAACGCCCGACAAAACGGAAAGGTGTGAACGGGGCCTAAAAGACAATGTTCAGTTAAAGGTTTTTGCTTTCGGCACCAAAGGTTATATCCCTATAGGCTCCAGTGATCTGACTCTGTACATATGTGAATAACTATTAGGAGGCATACAGACATCATAAACCATATGTATTTAGGTCAGTACAGATGAATGCTGAGCCTCTTTAAGAAACAAAAGTGAGCTGATCTGAAATTCAAAAGACTGCTTCTGTGTTCCTGATGAAACATTGTGACCTTTTTAGAAGATGCTGTAAAAACTAGGCTCATGTATCTACTAACTCAGCTACAAATACACACAATAGTTTGCTATACACATGTATACAGATTTTGCTCATTCTCTCTCTCTCTCTCTGGAGTAAATTCTCTCAGTGACAGCAGGCTACATTTCACAAGGAACAGATAAAGGTTTCTCCAGTGTCACCCCACCTGATTATCTGACAGCCACATAGCAGTGAGCTGCTGCAGTCTTATGAAGCTAAAGGGCAAATTCTTTAGCCTGTGGAAACACAAAAATTATTAAAGTTAACAAAGAGATTTATTTTTCTGGTTTACTGATGCAGTGTGGGTGTCACACAAGAGTTCACAGCAGCACAATAACATCTCTGTGGTTTATAGAACAGAGCTATCATGGAAATTATACAGATCTTTTACCCAAATAATGCTAGCTATAAAAAGTTACAAAACCCTTCTGCCCACTTTAAGAATTCAAAGACCTTTTATTTAACGTCTTCTAAGAAATGGCTCTGTTTAAAGACCAACTGTCCTGGTCACATGTGAATGTTCTAGACCCCTTAACACTGGTCCCACCCATGACATCACCAATCAGGCAATGTAAATAGGAATGCTATTATTTAAGTCAGAATGAGTTACAGCTGGCAGCACACTATTTGCTTTCCCTACACAGTGGTAACTAGGCTGAAGAGTCTATAAATGAGGCTTCAGAAAGAGAAGGCTGCTGTATATTGCTTGAGTAAAATGACAAGAATCTCTTAAGCACATCAGCCTCTGCTCCCCTTCCACTGCCTCTCAGTACTGCTGCTGTTTGTCAGCGTGGGATAACAAAGCAAAAATAGTGGAATCGCGTGTTTTATATGTACTTTAGTGCTATCCCCATGACCCTGCTGTCGTAGGCACAGGCCTGTCTTATGGTAAATATGGCCTTCTACAGCTTTTAAAGCTTATGAACAGTTAGGTCACAGTATTCCATTCAGGACCTGTATAAAACCCCCCCATTTATTTGTGAGATTAGCTTTTTTAGGTGGCATCTGTAAAAGCCATACAAATGAATTGCATCTGTTAAGGGGCAGTGTCCACAGGCACTGCAGTCCATGTGGATTTTTATGCAGTCCTCATCTATAATAAAGCTGAACTCCAGTTTTGTTTAAAAATAAATAAATAACATTTGATCTAGTTATAATATTATACATATAGAACTAAAATATGTTTTTCCAGCCTTCATATTAACCCCTGTTGTCCTCTGCATGCAGGCTAGGAGAGGCAGGGTAAGCACTCTTTGCTGACAGTTTGACACATGGAACATGCTCACCACATCGGAGAGCACTGGGATAGAAGTTTGAGGGCTTGTTCACATCAAATGCAAACCAGATCTGCATGAGTTTCTGCACACGCAGTGCGTTTTGCCGCATTTTTGCCGCGTTCCAGGCCGGGTTTTTTCCCCCGCCTAAAATGGGCTTTCAGTGCGTTCCAGGGCATTTGCATGCATTTTTGATGCGTTTCAGAGCAGGAAAAATAGGGCATGCTCCAGTTTTTTTACATGCTCTGGAACTGAATGCTGCGGTGTGAACTAGAGCCCAAAATACCATTGAAATACATTGGACGCAGTTTTGATCCGGTCCATAACTGCTCTTCTCCTGGAACACGCCTGGTGTGAACAAGGCCTAACAGAAGTTCAGTGTAAAACCAGTTGGTTCAGGAAGTGCTTGCCATCCCAGAACCACTTTTTGGTGCTAGTGTGTATGAAAAATACAATATATCTACACGGGCAAAGATACATTCTAGGCAGGCCAAGTTTTAAATTGTTTTAAACCATTTTAGGGCTGCAACTAACGATAATTTTCATACTCAATTAATTGTCAGATTATTTGTATTAAAAAAAGTAAAACCAGCTCTCGTGATGGACAACAATTTCAATACAAATTAGTAGTCCATCACAGGAGGGGGCTTTGAGCGGTGGCTACATTACAGGGGTCTCACCAAGGGATCTCTGCATGAAGAATGAGGGTGAGGACAGTGAAGTCACCCACTATAGGAAGGATGGTGGGATCAAATTGTGTAGAAAGAATGGTGAGGTAACTCTTTGTAGGAAGGATAGGAGAGAGGATGATGGCTTTACCTTCTGTAGAAAGTATCAGGGCATCTGTTATTACCTGGAGGGGACATTTGTTAAAGACAGATGCCACTCCCCAGCCCCACCACCAGGTAATGACAGATGCTCCTCTCTAATCAGATGACAGATAACAATCCCCCCACAATGACAGATGCCCCCTCAACCTACCATGGCCAGTCCTGCTCAAACTGACTTCCTGGACCCCTGAGCCCACACTCTCCCTAGAGGCTCTCAGAGGATTTTTTAATTAATTTTTGGCAATTTGTCATTGTCAGCAGGTGTCCTTGCCAGGAAGAGCGATGTGCGGCAGTGTCAGGCTGTCAGTGGGGGGGAAGTGCAGGTGGGGTGAGGGGAATAATCTGCATAGGTGAAACAGACATGCACAGCACACAAGTCTTACTTAAGGAGTCACAGCAGCCGTGACTATAGGACAGTGTCTTCCTCCCTACTCTGTGATAGCTTGGTCTATGTCCCAGCCAGGCTGCCAGTTC